TGAGGATTGACTCGATTCGAGCAGGAGACAGACGTGCCTGCATCGAGGTTGAGTCCCACACCACGCCTAAATAAGTGGTTCTCTGTAGTGGAGAAAGAACACTCTTCTTGGCATTTAGTCTTAACCCCAGCTCTCTCATATGGGCAAGGACAACATCTCTATGCCGAGCCGCCATCTGCTCCGATTGAGCTAGTATTAACCAATCGTCGATGTAATTGAGTATGTGGATGCCCTGGAGTCGCAGAGGAGCCAGAGCAGCATCCACACACTTCGTGAAAGTGCGGGGTGAGAGTGACAGGCCAAAGGGAAGAACTCAATATTGGTATGCTTCGCCCCCCAAAAGCAAACCTTAGGAACTTCCAGTGTTGAGGGAGGATGGAAACATGGAAATAAGGGTCTTTGAGATTTATCATAACAAACCAGTCCTCGGACTGGATTTGAGATACTATCTGCTTGATAGTGAGCATTTTGAACCGAAGCCGTTTGATAGCGCGGTTCAAAAGACGGAGATCTAAGATCGGACGCAATCCCCCATCCTTCTACGGAATGATGAATTAACGGCTGTAGAACCCGGACACTCTCTCTCGAGAGAGAGAGGCGGAACACGTTCTATGGCCCCCTTCCTCAAGAGAGTATCTACTTCTTGTTCCATTACCAGAGCTTGCTCGGGGCCCACTAGTGTGGGGATGACCCCATTGAAACGAGGCGGACGAGAACCAAACTGGATTCTGTAACCTTACTCTACAATCTGCAGGACCCATTTTGAGATATTTGGTATAAGTTTCCACGCTACCAGAAAATCTACTAAGGGAACCAGCCTCTCGAGGCTGGCCTCTGGTATTATTAGAGGAGCCAGTTCGGTTCCCTGAAGCGGATGACCGGCAGGGAACGACCGACCTGACTGCTGTAGCACCCTCACTTGAGGGGGCGAGCTCTCCCATGCCGTACCGTTGCCGGGCGGCAGCTGAGATTTTCGTTCGTCGGAGCTCACTGAGCCCTGTAAATAGGCTGTATATACGGGATGAGTACGGTTTCTCCCACGATCTTGACACCTCAGCATGGAGATCAGGGGAAAACGGAAGGCCCCCGTCGTGAAGGCTGTGATCTGGATTCAGAAAACGGTCCTGTTTCTAGGCTGGCCAAACTATATTTTATTTTGGCGACTGCACAAAACACACCCCATAACCACGAATCACACCTCATACGCGAGGGACTGTGGTGGCGAGTCCACAGTCTCCTCTGTCTCGACACTCATCACATCCACCTCCTCGGAGGAAGATAGATGAAGCGTCTGGCTCTCTCTCTCTGGGGGGTGGAAAGAAACCGCAGAGCAGGCTTCCGAACACTGAGAGAGAGCCGCGGATTTAGCGGGTGAGGACCGAGAAAAGGACGAGCCTGTCTCGGATCCCTACGCTAAATCCACTTGCGATCCCCACGACAACAGTCTGCGCTGTGCTTCGGCAACAGCGGGACCGCTGCCTGCAGGATCGCGAGCCTGGCCGCTCTCATCAAACATGGCCAGGTGAGAGCGGAGCGTGCGCAGCGAGAGCAGCTCGCAGTCATGACAATCAGCCCCCTCAAGAGCTGACCGTGCATGCTCCGCTCCCAAACAAACGACACACAAATCGTGTGTATCCCCTGCCGCCAGATATCGT